ATTACTGTGTAAATACTGGAGCTGCTATCGGGTAAGTTATACCATTCCTTAGATTGATCTAGTTTTTGTTGTTTGTTTAAGGTATTCATTGCTGTTGTTTCCTTTAAAACTCATTTGACCTTTTAAACACCATTCCTTATATTACGCTGTTTATATAATTATTTTGTCTGCGTAATGAGGATATCGTACAATGCCTTACTGTTTTACCCCGACCATTGTTCATACCAGTCAATAATTACGATGAAAAATGGAGATTATAATTTGTCTTTGAACAACAATTAATTTGAAAACTGATTTCACACAGAACGTAATTATAAAAGCATAGTACATTCCATTTAATCATGTTCATATTGCTACTTTTATCTACTGATTTTCCATGCAGTTATAACGGCTGTCACATGACTACTGTACATGTAACACCATCAAATATGACTCCAGCAATACTCAACGTTACACTTATGTGGCTATGACGTCACGATCACCATTTCATTTTGAGTATTTTATAGTGATTCATATAAAAGTATATGCATACAATATGGTATAGCATACATGTATGTATTCAATATGGTATAACATACATGTGTGTATTCAATATGGTATAGCCTAATGTGTGTATTCAATATGATATAACATACATTTGTGTATACAATATGGTATAACATACATGTATGTATACAATATGGTATAACATACATATATGTATGTTATACCATATTGAATACACACATGTATATTATACCATATTGAATACATACATGTATGTATAAAATATGGTATAACATACATGCATGTATACAATATGGTATTACATACATGTATGTAATACCATATTGTATACATATATGTAGTTACACAATATTGTATACACACATGTATGCTATACCACATTGTATGCATATACTTTTATATGAATCACTATAAAAGTATATGCATACAATATGGTATAACATACATATATTTATACAATATGGTATAGCATACATGTATGTATAAAATATGGTATAACATACATGTATGTATTCAATATGGTATAAAATACATATATGTATACAATATGGTATAACATAAATGTATGTATTCAATATGGTATAGCCTAATGTGTGTATTCAATATGATATAACAAACATGTGTGTATACAATATGGTATAACATACATGTATGTATACAATATGGTATAACATACATGTATGTATACAATATGGTATAACATACATGTGTGTTTACAATATAGTATAACATTCATGTATGTATTCAATATGGTATAACATACATGTATGTATTTCCTAAATGGATTTTACGTTCGAGTGATTTTGATAAAATATCCGATAAATTAAATTGTAGAATTTTTCATTACCAATATTTTTGTATTCAAATGTAACTATATTGTTGCATTCAAAGCATTATAGCTATAGCCATGCCATTGTGCATAAAACAAAGACTGTAATATAATTCATATTGTGACGTAATTTTTGTGTTTAATTGGAGATCGCCAGTAATGGTGGATCAGACAGCTATATATGTGTATGACATAGGTAAACACAACAGAATCGTGGTCGTGCCTGTATCAATCAGATTATGTACAGTGACTTACATATAATCACGATGTACCGCGTTAAACACAACATAAAGTCTTGTGTTTGTCGATAGAGGTACTAATGCTGTTTTCTGCAGAGTTGATTCTACATTTTATTAGGTGTTGGATAATAGAACGTGAATATAGGAAGACTATAAATGATTATATCCCAGATGCAATGAACCATGAACCATTTCTTCTTAGAAACATAAATGCATTCCGAAATTTGAACTATTCCGGAGTGAAAACGAGAGTGAAGCCGTTCCAAGCTCAGAGGTAAAACGTTAAACATGTTAGACGTGATTGTAAGTCTGTGTACATCTTACCTATACATAAAGATAAATAGTTTGTATGCTATTTTTGTTGTAGTATGCGTTGTATCTTGTTTGTAGTATTAATATATATGTTGAGTATGTACGCATGCTTTTTGTAGCATTAAGTGTGTTGTCCTGGAGAATTTGTGCTGTGTTTGCAGTGTCATGTTTGTACTTTTTCTAGTAACACATGTGGTGTATTTGTAGTGTTTGTAGTAAAATATACCTGTGTTCAGTTTGTAGTAGTATAAACGTTGTTTCTGTAGGGTTTTTTGTTTGTAGTATATATGCTTTGGGTTGTGTAAGTATCACTGTATTTGTTGTGTTTATAGTAATATGTGAATTGTGTTTGAGAAAGTGATAAAAAGACGCAATTGGTGAACTTAGTTCCAAACAAATACCCTTACGCCTCTAACTTCAATCGAGAATGAAGATAAAGTCAACAGGAAAAAGAAAAGAAGAAAAAGAAAAGGAAAGTTGCACCTTCTGACAAAGATGCGGAGAACAGCACTGTCAGTGTAACTGATACAATTGGTGACACGTCTGTGAAAGGAAAAACCTCGCATGGTCAAAGAAGTTTGATCCAAAATTTGCCTCCAATGTCCGTACATATATGTTTAGCTATAAACATAATAATAATAATAATAATAATTGGGGGTTCTTATATACCGTTTTATCACAACCTAGTTCGTAGGTCGTCTCAAAGCGGTTCACAAATTATTATCCCTGATTATAGGGCCTTTGCAACCAGCCAATACCTTTCTCAACTCCCTGGGGAGCATACAGCCGGAGCTGCCATTTCGGCGCTAACATCTAGCATTCAATAATTCTAGCACTGCCCAACTACGTACTCATTTACAGCTGAGTAGACTGGAACAAGCGGAGTAAAGTATATTGCTGAAATATACAACACAGTACCGTGCCGTGACTCGAACACGCAACCATTTGGTCACGAACCCGGCGTCCTACCATTAGACTACCGTACCTCCATATCCTTCAATATTTATCCGTCAATAAAACAAGATCGGAAGGTGGTATTTTGTGGTCGTCAGTCTAGTGCGTTCGTGACATACCAAGTCATTGTAGACAACACTATGCCTAGTGAATTATTTCGACAGTAAAAATGTTCTGTAATATCACTTTCGGGGAACGTTTGAGTATGTACTTTATAATGATACGGACACAAAAGTTACAGTTCCAAATACTGTTCAAGTTACTTAAGCAATATGATATTCTCACACTTTAGGAATCCTGCTGCCAATTCGGAGTACAATCATATTTGTAGATAGTTGTTTCATTATTTTTATGATTATATTATGTAAATGAATGTAACGATTTGAATATATACGCACGATTTACTGGCAGATATATAGAGAATTGGACATGTTTGTATACAATTATATCCTTTTAATGACGTCGATACATGTTTTTATTAACCCGAGGTAAAATATCAACCTAGGACGAATTTTCTGAGGTTGATAAACACATGTATCAACCTTATCAAAAGGCTATAATAGTTTTATTATTAGTGTTTTTCTAATATTTAAAATTAAATGTATACTGATGTAACTGCAATAAACACACTGTAATCATTGTGACATTTTTCAATTGGAAGCCGTACAAAATCAAAATGTACTAGTACATACACATCTGAAATATTTCAAAATTTCAATCTAGAACTTTCGCAATTTCAGAGTTATAATTTATCTTTTTTGTAATTGATTACAGAATGTTTGACATTGTTAAAGGTAAAGGGGAGGCAATTCAAACATTTTGATCTATTTAAAGAAAAAAACTAAGTCAACCAGGTTTTTTTAACCAGCTCATTTTTAACAGCCGTCAATATAGTTTTTTTTTATCGTAATCACATGACACAATTCTAGGCAACAGGTGGAATGAAAATATCAATTAAATTTTTGTGAATTACTCGATAGCTGTAACAATTAACCAGGCATGACAATAGCTTGTAATGCTATCAAGTCGGCCCAAACTATAAGAACTCGTTTACAATAGAGAAATATTTGGTCTGCGTATTTCACCTTGTTTCCAAAGTTGTCGGGATACAATCTCGCATCTCTGACCTTCAAAGTTGGTCAGGATAATGTAATTTTAACTATTATATAAATGTATCATTTTTTAAAATATTGCAACATTATAAGTAAGTCGTTGTCATTTTTCTTAAACAGGCTTAGGTATGCTATTCTAGCTAGCTGATAATCAATATTACATATCAACTTCTGTTATAGATAACGTCGCACCTCGACCTTCAAAGGGCCTGTTTCCAGTAATGTTAATTCTTCATAGGAGCCTGCCTCCGTATAATTTCTTATCTAGCTCAACTACTGTTTTTTTCTTTTCCGAAGAATAATTTTACACCTTTCCGACACCCAGATTTCATAATTTCAGTGAAAATGTATTTTTATAAAGTTGTCAATTTCAGCATCAAAGACATAAGTTCGTAAATAAAAGAAGGTTATCTCGAAATTGTAATTCGCAACATAGTATAAATTTCTTTTGATAAATATTTCCAAAACATCGTGTTTATTCATAAAACATAA